AAATGATGAGACACAAGACAGGCAGAAATGCTGTTCAGAGAAGAGCTGTGAGTCAGTGAGCACACCCTCAAAGCAGCTCACACTTGACCAAAACCATGGGCTTGCAAAAAGAGACAAGCTGGAGAAACCAAGGGCTCAGAGAAGCCAAGGGTTTAGAGAAGTCAAGGGTTTGGAGAACACCAGATAAATAGGAATTGGGAAACAGGCTCAGGAGGGAGATCTGGAGATCAAGAGTTTCAGCCTCTTGCCAAAAGAAGGATTATTGCTGACATTAGACCCGGCCAGTGGTGTTTGTGATCTCTTTGCTTTGGAGCCAGACAGCTGACTGTCATGGAGGAAAAGTCCTGTGTTCTCAGAAAAATGCTGGAGGAAGACTTCAGGGTGAGGAAGAGAGCAGAAACTTGGGCCAGCTTCCAGTGAACTGAACACCAGCAGTTGTGCTGTTTTCTCCTAGCCTGGAGACTGACTTTGGCTGTGTAGGTTCATGTGAAGATAGGAGCCCTAAAATTTCACACCCACTTCCCAAAGAGTGGATTTTCCTCTGGAAACCCCACAGATCCAGATTTGTGATTCTGCCAAGCTTCAGTGCTGTCCCTGAGTCTCAGGACAGCCTCAAAGGCTGAACTCTTCTCCAGGGCGGCTGGATGTTTGGAAGGGAGGGAGATATCAGCCTGATATTCCCATAGCAACAAAACTCCTGCAAAGCCTTTGCTCCGGGGTGGATACAAAGGCAAGAGCTCTGCATGGGCAGCATTCAGCCACTGCACCTCCAGGCTGGAGGAAAATGCCAGCAGTCAAGATAGCAATAATGAGGCAAACATTTACCCAGGCTTCATAAGCAAAGGGAGGACAATGAGCCTGGGAACAGAGTGTGTGCAAAATCCCACTTGTCCCACGGCAGAAATGTCCCCTGGGAAACCCAGGGCTCTCAGCTCAAAGGGACATGCCCATTGAGGCAGAGGGGTAATAATGTGAGTAAAGGATCATTTTTAGTAGCCATTTCCTTTGCTTCTTCCCTCCCTCTCCTGTGATTTCAGCTCAGCACAGGGTCATCAACACAGGTGATCCAGGACATGAAGGAACCTTAGGGACAGACAGGGTGAGACTGTCACTGTAGTGACAGGACAAGGGGGAGAGGGTTAAAATCAAAGAGAATGGGTTTAGAAGAGATTTTAGGAAAACAGTTCTTGGCTGTGAGGGTGGTGAGGCACAGGTTTTCCTGGAGGAGCTGTGGCTGCCCCATCCCTCAAGGCCAGCTTGGACAGGGCTTGGAGCAGCCTGGGATAGTGGAAAGTGTCCCTGCCCATGGCAGGGGTTTGGAACAAGATTATCTTTAGGGTTCATTCCAGCCAAAACCATTCTGCGGTTTTACGATCCAGTCACATCCAACCTGATGCCTAAAGATGGGGATGGCAAATGCTTTGTTTCTAACTCACACAATCCTGGCATTAAGCTGGGTGGGAAAACACAGCTGCAGGAATCTAGAACTCATCCCAAGGTCTTCCACTGTTACACCAGTGGTGTAATTCTTATTAGTGATCTATCACTGAGCAGCCCTTTCCTCTTTCAGTTTAGTGGAAGTGCAGGTAGGCTCTGGGCTAGAACACATAATGTGCAAATTACTTGTAGGTCTTTCTGAATAAATGTTTCCAGAGATCCCTGAACAAAATGTAGTGTCTGACAGCCCAAAATGCATCAATCCTACCCTTTCCATGTAAACACAGGTTAAGGAAATAAGCATCTTAACAGGGAAATATAAGTATTTCCCTGCTTTTTTGACTCCTAGGGAAAAAGGCATGAGCATATAAAGCTATCAGGTGATCAAAAGTTTCATGCTGTTTCACAGCATACACATTCCTTTGAGATCCAACTCCAGAACAACCAAAAAGCTGCTCAAACTGGGGAGAGGATCTGATTAAAGCACAACCAGACAGGAAAAAACCAAAAACCAAACCCAAAACAAACAACAACCTTCTGACCTCTTACCAACGTGAATTTAAAAACCTGTATTTAGCAAAGGAAGATTCTGTGACAACACCGCGAGCATCACTTTTGGAGAATGAGAATGGAGAATGGTTTTTGGAGAATGAGAAAATACACCCAGCTCCAGATTTTTTGGGTGAATATTCAGCTCCAGACAAGAACAGCCTCAACGCTGGATCCAGCAGGTCACCAGAGACTGAGGAATGCAATATTGCAACAGCTCATGACAGGGTTGAGCTGGTAATCCAAACACCAGCCTGTCTCCATCCATTTTGATCTTCCCATACAGCCTGCAGAATTTCCTCATTTCTGTGTTTGGGTTCAGGAGGAGTCAGCAGAGCTTGGCAGCGTGCCCCTGACCTCTAATGGGTGCTGGGCTGGGGCACACTCGAGGCATTTTTGGGGGATGCTGTAGACCCTAGACCTGTGTGAGCTAGGGCACACACTCCCCATAACCTGGAAATCCAAAATTCCCTGTGAAGCACTGGGGAAAATGCTGCAGGAGGGGAAAAAAGAGGACTTTGCTCCCTCCCAGAGCTGCCAAGTGCAGAACCAGTAACTTGTAGGGACCCATCTCCCATCTCCAGAGCAGTGTAAATATAAAAACCACACAAGACGAGCAAACACTCTTAAAAAGTTTTTATTAATTTTCATTGTTTTTTTTTTTTTTAAAAAAAACAAACCCGTCAGTGCAACAGTTCAGTATCCCCTTCCTATCCCCCATCAGTAAGCAGTAATTTTAAAATCAGGAAATACCGAGTGCTGAAGCCAATGGGTTAGCATTTTGCTATTATTTCCTTCTGTCAAACTCTGAAAAAGTCCTCTGTATAAATTAAACAATGAAAAAAATGTTATTTTCAATTCTATGTCATTACAGTCAACAGAATCATAATAATGCACCTAAAATGTGTGTCCACAATATATCAGGTATACATTTTTGGGAAAAGAAAAAAAGGAAAAAAAATATGACATTCTAAGCTTGTTAAAAGGATAATGGTCCCATATTTTTTTTATTACAGGTTAGCAAAACAAAATCCAATGGATTACAATATTTACATGTTATTTGAAAAATTAAGTAGTGATAAAAGCATGTCACAATCATTGTTTCTTTTTTTTTTTTTTTTTTTTTTTTTTTTTTTTTTTTTGGAACACTTAAAAACACCCAATGGTAACCATTACAAACACCCAATCCAGGTATGGAACTGTTTAAATATATTTGAAATGAGGCCAATTAAAAAACAAATACAGACACAAAATGTGTATTTTTACTTGTCCCTCCAATGTGTCTTTTCTATGATGTTCCCTCCCTATTAAAAAAAAAAAAAAAGAAACCAAAACAAACAAACAAACAAACAAAAAAAAAACCAACAGAAAAATAGTCAGAATCCCCCTAACACACAATTGATGAATCCCCAAAAGCAAAACACCATGCTTCTCAAGTAGCACTTATTCCACAAATGCAACATTTTTGCCATCACTTTTAAGTGAAGCTCTCCAGGACACAATTTCCTGGAGAGCTTCCTATTTTCCCCCCTCCCCCTCCCCCTGATCCCCCCCAAAAAACAAAAAAAACAAACGAAGACACATGCATTTCTAAAACTAGGTTTCAGTCAAGTACTTTCTACTTTTTGGAAAGAAACATTTTTTTTTCAGTTTTTTTTTCCTTTTCTCGTTTTTCTCTTTTTTTTCTCTTTTTTTTTTTTTTTTTAAAATCTCTTTTTTGTTCACAATCGGAACATACCATGGGCACCAGATCCTGTATTGGCCGCTCAGGCAAAATCCCCAAATTTGAGTTTAAATAGGCTTTCTACCCAAGGAGTAGTTTCAGGATCAGCCACTTAAGGTATGCAGGTTTCCTATCCATTCTACACTGCTCCCCTCATGCTAAAAAGCTAAGGAGGAGGGGAAAAAAACTCAGTAACTCCATCCACTGAATTGAGTTAAAAGTAGTTCTCCAGGCTCAATGTCGTGTGTAACCAACTCACCTCCGCTTGCAAAAAGATGTGTTAACAGACACCCCTCCCTCCCACCACACCAAAACAAAAAAAAAACCAAAACAGAAATACAAACAAAAAAAAAAAACCAAAAACAAAAAAAAAACCCACCCAAAAACAAAATACGGAATTAAAATTAAAAAAAAAAAAAAAGGGGAAAAAAGAAAAAGGCAGCCAATCTCAACGAAAAGTTACAGTTGTGAGACTGATAGATGTTAATATGACAAGCAACAGAACGGTTATGAGGACCCATGTGTTTGGCCCATGAGCTGCATAGCTGTGCTGTAAGTTTGGTTCTTTAGGTTTTTTGTTTTTTTTTAAAGTTAAAACTTCTTTGTTATCTCCATATGTTTAAAATTAACAAGGACGACGACAACAGCAACAACAAAAAAGGGTTCTATTCACAAGATCTAGTCTCCTTTCCCTGTCCCCCACTCGAAAAGAAATACTCATTTTTACATGAGAAACTTAATTGTGCTGTATTTGTAACACCTCAGGCTGATAGAAAACAAAACGTGTGGCAAACAAAACCGCACAATCAGTCACATGAAATCTACCAAATACTAAAATTATAACTGAATACTAACAAACAGCTTACCTGGAATAAAGGATGACAATTCACAAACAGTTATCTAGGAATTAAAGTATCTCTCTCTTTTTTTTGTTTTTTTTTTTACTAAAATAATTAAAAAAATCACAGTATTTTAAGAAATAAAACCCACACTGGGATTTTAAGCACAATTTGTTTTTTCCTTTCTTTAAAACTTTTTTTTTTTTTCTTCCTCCATTCACCACCTTGCCCAGCAGTCTCTCTACATTTAACCACAACAACAACAGGTAGTACTGACAAATGCAGAGATCTCCCTTGGTTAATTCTGAGGTACTAGGAAACAGGTGACTGTTTTAAGCAAAGCAGTTTCTGTTTTGTTTTTTTTTTTTTTTTTCTTTTTTTTTTCCCCCTGTGTTTTTTTTTTTTTCCTTTTTTTTTTCCTCTTTTTTTTAATTTATTTTTTTTTTCTTTTCTAAAGCAGTTGCTTTCAGTCTGGAAAAGCGTTTTACGTATTAAAACTAGAAAAACGCACACAAACTTGTGCGTCCAAAAGTTGTCCCCCTACCACTTCTTCCACGCTCACGACGCTTCCACTCATAAAACAATCGAAGTCTCCACTGCAAAGCACGATGTGTAATGTAGGAAAAACATGGGGAGTTGCTTCATTAGTCCAAGGATGAGCGTAACTTCCCACCGTCAGATCCAGGAGGAAAACAAAAGATGCAGTGACGTAATGGAGCCACTTATCCCATCACTTAAATAACTTTTAATATACACACACTCACACAGGTACCAGTGCTTTGAAAATAGATCATTCAGTCCTAAAAGCAGCTTTATTTCTTCCTTCTGCCCGCCTCGCCCCGCCCTGCCCCGCTCATCACTGTTCAAGTACTGTCGATCAGAACCACACCAAAATCTTATTCTTATTCGTTTTTGGCCTCCGGGGTGTCTAGGAGAGGTTGGTCAGCAGCCACCATGCTGACAGCTGTTTCCCCACCATGGGAGTAGTCCACCACCATGGTCTCGATGCCTTCCTTCTCTTCCGGCAGCGTGCTGGCCGTGTCCTCCACGTCCTCCTTGGGCTGGCTGTCCTCGCCGCTCCTGTGCTTGCTCTCGTTCAGCGCCCTGCAGGGAACAGGAAGGGCAGAGGCGGTCAGGTACAGCATGTCACATGAGGGACAGCAGCAGATCACCCTCCAAAAAGGCAGCCACGCCACTGGCTCCAAAGGAGAGGCGGAGGAATGAAATTGCTGGTGGGACATTCCAGCCCTGAAATTGAATCTTTAGTTTGTTCGGCGCTGGGACGGATTTGGGATCAGAAGGAGGAACTCAAACTGTGACACTTGAAGCTTATTCCCATCTCTCTCAGGCTCCTTGTAAACAAGACTTAGGAGGCATCAAACAAAGGCACAGGAAATGAGTGCTTTTCCCAAAGAGTCCATAAAATCCAATAAAACTTTTCATAGGTTGCAGCATTTCAAGTACTTATGCTCAGACTTACACTCTGTTAAGTGTAAGAGAAGTTATTGTTTCTCATCCCATTGCAGTTAACCCACAATATTGTATTCAGATGCTTCCCACATGTCAGCAGCCTTGGATGAAATCTACTCTTTGAACAAACCCTGGCTAGAAAAGAGGTCTCTGCTACCAACGAGATCTACATCAAAAGAAGGAAACAGATTGCTCCAGAGATTCCTATCTGTGATGTGTGTGCAAACTGCTGTAGAGAGGAAAAAAATTAAAAAAAAAATCAACAGCACACTTAGGGGAAGTTAATCCTGGTCAAGAGGCATTCACCTAGGGACAATCTTAAGTTTTAGAACCACAGTTAAACCCTACAGTTTACAGCTACCCTGGGCAGCAGAGTCAGAAAGAACGCAGAGACATTCGATAAACCATCCAAAGACAAATTTGGTCTTCACACAACTGTGTTTGCTATTACTGCAGCTTTTTGGGAGGGCAGGGATGGGGTGAGGGGAATATAGAGAGATCTACTGACACCTCTGGCAAGGGAACACAAACCAACTCACATGCCATGCCTCAGCACGTGCCGCTCCCACTCGGAGCCCTCGGTGAAGGATCGGCCACAGAACTCGCACGGAAAGCGTTTCTCTGGAGCACTGCTGTCAGGAAACATCATGGGATCTGGAAAAAAGACAGCACAGCCCATGAGCTCAGAAATGCCAGGGCAAGAAGGGAATTGTCACCACGGTGGTCCTCTCTGCTCCACCTCTCACTCCAGAGAAGCAAAAGGACTTCCTTGTCAAATAAGTGGGAAAATGCAGCTGCTGAAAAGTGACACTGCAAGTGACAAATCCCACCCCAGGTCTTAAAGCATCCCTGCAAAGTAAGGGTAACAAGTTACTAGTCCCTGTTCCTCTATTCCAACAAATGAAGAGACTGTAGAATTTAAATTCTAAACCAAAATGGCAAAACTTAGGAAAGCAAAATCCAAAGTCCCCACTCAAGTCCAACTGTAATTCTGGAACCGGTAGTACAAATTTTAGGAAACACACGGATTGGGTACATTTAACATGTGATTCTTGTAATAGCTCCTGAAGCCACATGGATTAAGTCCTGCATCTTAACAGCATAGGTGTTTCATGCTCATCCTAATCTTCTGTACAAAGTGCTTGGGGCCTCATTTGCAGAAGTGTCAAGCACCTTGTAATATGAGTGAAGTCACAGGCAGCTCAGGGAATGACATCTCAGAAAGCCAAGCTCCTTGTGAACACAGCCTGCTCTGACAAAAGATGAAACATTTTCTCACAAATTAAGAAGATCACCGCACCAGCCATTGAAAATAATTGCACGAACTATCTCACTTTATTCTTCTGCTGGAAATGAGACAGCACCATCTGCTCAGAGCATTAATTCCTTAGCAGGGATTATCTTAAGCAAGAAATCAACGGAATGTCTTTCTGACTCCTCAAGAACCACATAATAAAGGAAAAGAGATTTTGCTTAATTTTGGTTCTGATCTCTGCTCACTTGATTTCTTCACTCTCAGACATACTCTGTTCAGGATCAGTCTGTGAAGTCAAAATTGCTCACACATTCCCTATTACCCACACCTAAGTCCTGCAAATGCATTTCTGAGACACACTTCTCACTAGTTAACCTGTACTTCAGTTTTATATGGAATGGTTCTTGACAAAACTTTTTGGCCTCTTCCCATGAAAGGCAAAAAAATACACTTTGTATTTCTTATTGTTGGGGGTTTATTTATTATGTGGTTAAATATCATAAAGCTGCTGTGTTGGGGAACACCAGAATACAAGCAGCAAATGCCATCAGCTCAGCTTACATCTGGATTTTTAACACCTTAAGCATGGCACAAATGTATAAACACACAGACTAGTCATGACACAGAGATAAATATTTTTGGTGGGTAATAGTTTTGGAGGCAAATGATGCTGATGTTCTGTATACAAGTATAACTATGGATGGGGCTTGGAGCAACCTGGGGTAGTGGAAGGTGACCCTGAGCATGGCAGGGGTGGGACTGGATGCTCTTTAAAGGGCTCTTCCAACCCAAACCAGTCCATAATTTATACCTGCAAATTAGCAAGTGTTACTCTAGTAAATCCACTACCCCTTCAGACAACACTATCTTGTTCATCCTACTGCCCAGTAATTTTTGCCTCTAGGGATGTGAATTTGGGCTGCTTCCTTGGAGGATTATCAGAAGCTGCTCTTCTCTGGGTTCTGCAGAGGAGAAGCAACAGATTGCACACACGCCTGACCTCTCAGTGGTTTTGCCCTGTCACACATACAAACACCCATGGACATTTAATTTTTGCCCGTTGTGGAAAAACACCTCTTGATCTGCTGAGACCAAGACTTAAAGATCAGTAACAGCCTCTTTGAGACCCAGGTCTACCTGGGAACGCTGATCTTGGCATGGTCTGTGCCAAGACACCTCATTTTCCCCCATCCATCTCCTTTTATTCTATATCCTTTACCACCCCTTCCTTTCCCATCCAGAAGTGCAGTTCAGCTCTGCTGCCCAACTCTGCCTGCCCACATGGACAATGGCCTTTGTTTGGTCCAGCAGCCCATGTGAAGAAGCAACAAGTTCTTATTTGCACCTTCAGTACTGCACAGAGCAGCTCAAGCCAAAGTGGTGAATCCAGGGAAGAAATCCTGATTCTCCCAAAGTCACAGACCTCAGACAGATACTTGGAGCACACAGAGGCACTCCCACCAAATCCCACAGCCTGCTAACACCACAAAGGCTAGGATTGCCAGATGCACCCCAGCAGCACCCAGGATTGCCAGTTTCATGTGGTTTGAAAGCTGTGACAGCATTAGCCACTGTGACAGGCTCTGTTTGAAACCACAGGTCTGGCTCTCTGCTATCAGGGCAAACCATTTCTGTGTCAGAAGGACCTTCTGAAAATGCCTAGGGAGATGCCAGCATGCAACTTAGCATCCTTCAGTTCCTGTCTCACTGGGACATTTTTTCAAAAATCTTGCACCTTAAGTGTGATAATTCACACAACTTACCCAGAAAAATGCAATCAATACAACTGGATCTTTTCTAATATCCTTGTTGTAGTAAGTGTTTTCTGCATTTTCTACCTATTTTGCTATAATCTTACAAATGGTTAGGAGATTCAAAAGGACAAAAAAAACCCTGAAAAAAAACAATGGTGAAACATCAGCCCTACAGGCCAGAGAAGAAAGAAATGCTGCAAAGCAAACCTGAAAATACGCCTGATTTTTTCAGGCTGGTCACCCAAACAAGCATGCAGAAATCATTTCAGCCAGTCACAGATTAAAGAAAACAGAGACAGAGGTGAAAAAAAAAAAAGTACAGCATCATCAAAACACTGCCTTGCTTAACTCTGAAACATGAGGACAGCACATCTATTAACCCATGAACATGTAACACTCCAGCATGGAAGGTGATGTTTTTATACTTCCAGGGTGTAACCTAAAGCCAATTTAAACAATGAACTTCACCTTGGGCTGCCCCCCTGCCCGTGGCACATTCACAGGGATTTGTGAGGCTTGGCAGAGAGCACTTTCTTCTCCTTGGTCCGGGCACCAGAGCCTCCAAGGTCACCTCAGCACCTGTGCCTGTGTGTAAAGCTAAGGTAATCCTCACAAGGACAGCTTGACTCCTCACCCCCTGCTAGCTGTGGGTCTACACAGGACATTAATCAGCCTGCTGCATCTGCAGCTGAGGTGAGCTGGTGCTTTAGTCAAATCATGACACAATTTCTGTTCCAGCCACAGAGGAAGCCGAGAGGGTCGGAGCTGTCCCTGAGGAATGCTGAACTCCGAGATGCACACGTGGAACTGACATCCCTCCTCTGATTTTTCTGCTGCTTTACCTCTAAGACCTTGTGCAGGGGATTTTTTGTTAAAACATAAATGGTTTCCTATCCAACTGGCTTGCATTCTCGATTAAGTTAAAAGCCATCACTAACTGCTCCTGAAGCTCTGCTGATAAGCACAAACTGAATTCATGCTGCAGGGAGACAAAAAAATCTAAGATGCTGGGGTCTTGCTGTAAAAAGGCAAGAAGTATGATCTGAACCCACCTAGTTCTGTAAACTACCTGTGAATCTGGGAATTTTTCAATGCCTGAAAACAGAGATATCTTTTTTATTTGTGAAAAGCTCTTCAGTGAGTTTGAAATTTAAAAAATCATGAGGAAAATGTTCACCAAACAAGGTGGTTTACCTTTAGCTGAAGTACATGGAACTTGGCTAAGTGGAGCTGTCAGAATTAAGAATTGGGTGACCTGTCCTTCAAACCACGAGGGGACTAAAGATATTAAAGAGCTGTTGCATTATATGATGCATTGTTGCACCAGAACAAAACACAGTTACACCAGATATTGAAATAACTTTCCTTTCATGGGAGAAGGTTGTTGGAAAGGAAACCCTTCATTTAATTATCAGAGAACTTACTTTTTCTCTGCTGATCTAAATTTAACCAAACCAAAATTATATGGCCTTGCTTTGTTGAAGTCAGTGGGATTATTCTTTGATACAAACCTAGGCACATATTTAAATATAAAATGGTAGACAGGTGAGCATGGATGTACCCTGGCTCTGGAGCTGCCAAGTGCAAACAGGACTGACTGTCTGACAGAGAATGCTGGGCAGAGAGATAAATAACAGCCCATAAAGCAGCCTTCATCCCCGACTTGGGCAATGCCAAGTGAAAGCTGGAAACTGGTTACCAAAACAGAAAATCTGACAGGCCACTAAAATACACTTAGACAGTTTTGCAAGCCCTTATAGATGGTATCTGAACAGGCAGATTAGTCACAGATGCTATCTGTGCCTTCTCATAGTGTGTATCCTCTCTGAACAGACAAAAAACTTGTAAGGAGAATTAGAAACACAAGATTCCCACAGGAGCTGTGTCTTCAGGAAAGCCACATTCTGTTACTATTTCTGCAGTGCTGTACACTCAACAGGTGACCTAGCGTGGTTGGACTGGTGAGGCAGTTTGCAGTACCCAAAAAAATCCAACAAAACCCCCCTCAACACATGAAAGAGCTGCACTGACCTCTCTCTTGAGCCTTGGGGCTTAACTCTTCTTCTTTTTCTTCTTCATCACTGCTAGAGCTCTCTGTTTTCCCTTTCATTTGCTCCAACTGGTCCAAGTTAACCCGTCCAACCAGCTCAAAATTACGACTCACCTTTGAAAGAAACACTTCTGTTAGCACTCAGCACAATCACCAACCAGCCAGGAAAATGGCCACAAATGCAGAACAAAACCAAGTACACCCCAAAGGCTGCTCAGCTCAGAGGTGACATGCAGTCCCCATAATTAAATTAACACTCATTTATTTCCAGGGGCAGTGATTCTTCCATTGCTGTTTATTCTGCATTTCTCATTTCTGTTTTTTTTTTTTTTTTTTTTTAATTAATGAGATTGGGTAAACCCCCTTCATTTCTTCATCCAAGAAACGGAAAACATTGAGTCGTATCCTCATTTTTATGGCATTATTCAACTGCTGTGATCAAACACTGCTACCACACATCCACGCTGAACGGAAACTCTCTGTGACGAGTTCATTCAGCTTTATTCATGAAAGGATGGCTCTTTTTCTCACTAAGCACATGGCTGCTGTGTGGCACATACACTTTCACTCATTAATAACAGATTAATTTTCATTACGCCCGGGCTGCAAAGTGCTTTGCAAACTGATAGCAGCCTATAATGGGAACACTTCACCCAGCAGTCAAATTCAGCTAACCCTGGGGTGAAATGCACCAGCTACTTAGCAGCTCACAGCAGCAGTATGAAAGGAGCAGCTCAGGGCACCGGAGTCAGGAACTGCTCCACATCCAAGAGGAACAGCGGAGCAGCAGCCCAGATTTACAGCGGAGGCGGAGAGCGTGGAGCGTGACCAGGACACCAAGGCTAATACTTGCTGCATGACAAGGGCCCTCTGAGCTCATTGATCACTGCTGGGAAGGGTTTTGGATTCATCTTTCATGCAGAGAGACAGCCCTCCAGCAGCACAGGCGCTGAGCCACGCAGGCAGAGGGGATGGAGACGGAGCAGTGAGCGCGGTACAACGCGTCCTGCGAGAGGCTGAATGAAAAATCAACACCCACTGACTGCTCTTTGCCCCTCTGTGGGAAGGGAAATGTGAATGACCCCGAGGAGGATGTGAAGCAGGCTGCAGGATACATCCAAACAGCAAAGTATCTTGAATATGGAGGTGTGAAGGTTCCTAGTACTGGGTTACAGACAGTTGTGATCAGGTTCTCTAACTTAACACATCACCCACAGAGGTTTAAACAAGCAAGACCACATGCAAGGCACTTGACTCTACTCAGCTCATGTGAAGGAACTCTTTTTAAGGTGCACTATACAACCTGGGTAGTGTCTGAACCCAGAACTTAAGACATAAATTGGAGAGGTACAATTTACCCACCAAAAAAAGGGGAAATGATACCTTTAACTACCAGCACCACCACTGCAGGTCCAGTTCAGAAAGGACAGATAAGTTAAGGGAATGATCATCCCACACTGATGCACTGTGTCAAAAAAACCCCAAGCAATAGTTCCTCCTGGATGCAGCAGGCACCAGGAGATGTGGAACTCCTTCTGTACCATTTGAATGGCAGGAGACTCTCCAGAAGTAATAAACATGGCACAGGAGCCTAGCACGCCAACATAAATTAACAAAGTGTGGTTTTATAAGATGGCCAGGTATTTTTGAGCAGGAAAGCTGTTGTTTTATTTTTTCGTGTTTTTTTTTTTTTTTTTCCTGGGACTTCTGCTGCTAATACCTTCCATACATATTTGGCTTTAAGGAAAAATCATTCAGTCAGTGAAGCTTTTAGTGAGGACCATGGGCAGCTAAGCTCCAAGAGGGGAAGGCATATTAGCTGCCTCCCCTGGAAACCTGCCAAGGAAGCACTCTAGGAAATATTCCAAAACACATCCCAGTTCTAGAACTTGAAACATTTCTCAGCTACAGAAATTCAAAGCTAGCAGTCTGTGGAAAGCCTTTAATGACTTCTCAAAGACTGGACCCAGATATGCTCTCAGGTAATCCACAAAAACTCCAAAGCAGTCTTAACTGAGGGCCTGGTTAGACTTGCTGTTTATCTTTCCCTTGTTAAAGGTAAAAGGGGATGTATAGACCTCTTTGTTATTAAAATATGCCAGGCATGTCATGCTGCTGAAGTTACCAGAGCAATCCTGTGTTTGGAATCTCCTGCCTTTTACAGGGGCTGAATCACACTGCCTTGGTATTGTTCCACCACTCTTTCCCCACCCCCCTTTAGATAAACCCAGCACACACAAGAGCCTTTTCCAGACAATCACACTCTGCATGCAGCAGTTTGCCAATTCTGATCAATCTGAACAGCTTCAGAAACGATTACTTTTCAGTTTCTGAAGAAACTAACAAACAAACAAAAAGATGAATAAAGAGAAAAATGAGAAAGGGAAGCGCAACATGGGATTAGTTTTCAGATTTGGGGAGGGAGAGGAAAAAACAACCCCAGTGTCAAGCTGTCTAGTCAGACATGCAAATTAAACCAATTCAGCATTTGCAAAGACTAGACTGCCAGAAATTAAAGCCATTTGGGTCCTACCTTGTGCTCATCTCGAAGGTGAGCATCCAGCTCCTCTGTGTGTTTGGTCTCATAGTAGCAGAGTTGGCATTTGTAAGGTTTCAGTTCATTGTGCTTCTCTATGTGCTGCTGCAAGCTCTCGTCACTGGAGCAGGTGAAGGTACACTTGTCACAGCGGAAAACGACTCCCTGCAGGTACTTGGACAGCTTGGAACGGCAGACTTCAATGGGAACGACCCTCTCCTCTGTGGGGACAGCACAAAGCGCACTTAACAACACCAGGAAAACAATCCTGCCTGCCAGGGCAGGGTTAATCTCCAAAAGCCACAAACACAGGTGCCCTCTGTGACTGGTGACAAGGGTGAAGAGGATGGGAACAAAGGTTTTGGGCCAAGTGAGACTCCATCTATGAGTCAGAGGAGCAGAGCCTAGGAGCACAAACCCAGCCATAAATCAGCCAAGACCAAAAGTTTGTTTTTGTTCAGTACTTGACAGCAGCCGGGAACTGCTTCTATAAAAGCAATAAACAGGGGAGCTGCAGGGTGTGCTTCCCAAAGCACCACACACTGCTGGCTCTGCACAAACTGGAGCTGGTGTCCTCACCACCACACCCAAACCTGCCCTCCGGGGACTGAGAAGGTGAGCAAGGCAGCACTTCTCCCAGGAAAAAGGCTGTGCAAGTTCAGCCAGCAGCAGAAACCTCCTGACGTGCCCAGGGCTTTCACAAAAGCCCAAACTCCGCACGCATGATGTACTGAAAATGCCCTTGCTGAGTTTTTAAACTCTGCACTCCCTTGAACAAAGCAGTGATGTTTAACAGAGCAGCAATTAATTTCGGTCATTTGACACAGCCAGAATCTGATGTGCCTCAACACTCATCCACTGTGGTTCCCTCCACGCTGTGCACACCAGAGAAACACCAAATCTGACCGTTCAGCTGAGGGTCACCAGCAGATCCTCATTAAGGCTTTTGTTACCCAAACTGGCATTTTGAGCTAGAACACTTGGAAACTTAGCACTGCTCCTCCTTATGCACCGCATACTAAAGGAGGGTTTTCCGATCCTCCTCATCCAGGCTCATCCCCAAGGACAGGAGAGGAAAAAAAAAAGAGGCCTGAATCTCTTATGGGTAGACATGAAGGCTGAAGGAATGTGAGACGTGGCAGTGCACACATGGATCTGAGCCAACAGGCCCTTTCTTCTAGTGAGGAGGGTAAAATTACATCCAAAGACAACTACAGAAACACACACTCCCTTTACAGTAAGATTTTTTTTTTTTCTACAGCTCAACAAAATATTCCATCCTGCCTAGCTTCTCCCTGAGCACAAAACTTATCTATCTCGTAACTTCCTCTTTTTGAAGTTTTCCCCAAGGCTATGCCTTAACCAAAAAAAAAAAAAAAACAAAACCAAACACCCAAAGACTTATGATTCTTTTCTACACCAACAGCAGCTTCTCTAACTATAAAGAAACCAAATAGTGGCCATTCAGGGTGGAAACAGGGGAGGGGAGAATAGGGTTTAAGACACAGCAGAATTCAAAGCTGTGCTGCTGAGATCACTAGAGAAACTTTTTACAAGGTTGTTGCAGCTGCGTGCTTTTGGACTCTCAGAAGTAAATGACACAGCCGGTTTCAGAAGTGAAAAAGCCAAGGGAAGTTTTCAAAACCAGAAATACTAATTAAAATATTTTAACACTCACTTTTCCTCTAACACCTGGCACAGATTAAAAAACATGTTATGGTATAAAACTTTAGATCGACCAGCCTGAAGTAAAGCAGCATTCTCTTACTCAAGTGAACAAAACCTATTACCTCACAACTACACACAGAGTTCCCAAATCAAAGGAAACACAGTAAGAGAAGAGCATAACAGACACAAATATCAACTCTAGACTGAAACATTTCAATTTCAGGAAATGATTTATAATTTTTACAAGATGTCTTAATGTCAGTGAGCTTCCTCAAAGCTATGATTTTGGAACTTGTAGGGCTACCTGGACCTGGAATGTTACATTTCTCAAGGTGATGCTCTCACCTGCAGCTTGCCCCTGCAAAGCCCTGTTTATTTGGTTACTCATTTAGAATGCACTTATCATGCCTGGACAACCAACAAAATTGCAGCAAACCACAAAGCCCCACACAAAAATTGAAGAGGCAGCTTCTTTCCCCTATGAGACTTCTTTAAATTCCATCTGTGTCTAATCAAAGACTACTGCAGACACCTCACAAAAGGCTGTCCCAACTTGTGGAACCATTTTGCAAGAGTGGTAATTAAAAAATTAACAACAAAATAAACACCTAACAAAAGCATCACCTTGGTTTAAGAAATCCAATCCTTCCACTAGGCTGGAATATTCAGGCCAATTGTATCAGGGAATTAGCTGAAAGGACATTAATGACTAACTATTCCCAGTACTGTAACTCAAAGCAGACATACATTTTTTTGGCTCAAGGCACAAGAGAGCTCAGGACTCTATTAGTCCTTAGTTGTAAGGAGAAATCTTTGTTCAGCAACACACCAAAGCATATATAACTCAATTCCATCCCTCAAAGGTAAACAAAAAAAACGAAAAAAAAAAAAAAAAAAAAAAAAAAAAAAAAAAAAAAAAAAAAACAAAAAAAAAAAACAAAACAAAAAACAAAAAAAAACCCCCCAAAAAAACACAACCAACCCAAAACCCAAAAAACCTACTATCTAGACACAGACCAATTGCTTGGTCATCCTGGGTTTTGAAAATAACACACATTTTTGCCTGGAAATCCAAACTACACTCACAGAACAAGTAGTATTTGGATTCCAGTAGTCAAATCTAAAGCAAGCACTGCACAAGGGCTCTGCATGCATCTGTGAAGCTGTATGTACAATGGAAAATGCCAGAAAAAGGCATGTACAAGGAATAAGTGCAAGGAACAAGGATCTGCAGCAAGGAAGCCTTTGGGGAGGAGAGTAAATTTGAAAATTTACCTTAAAGGTTACTATTCAAAACATATGGGTGTTATTCTCTTATACGTAAGAAGAAAATTACCAGGTTCTTTAAAGGAAGGATAAGGAAGAAAAATGCCCAAGGACTTAAAAGTATAGCCAACAGTGAACTTGGTTAAGTTGGATTCAGCCCTGGAAAAACACAAATATACTTCAAAATGCATGAGGGGAATGCTACTGGAAAAGATAATATTGGGAGAAAAGATGGTCAGCCACTGGAATGGGAGTCCCCATCCCCAGAGGTGTCCAAGGAACACCTGGAGGTGGCACTCAGAGCTCTGGGTGGGGGACAAGGTGGGGACTGGCCACAGGTTGGACTCGATGGCCTCAGGCTCTTTTCCAACCCAGCTGATTCCGTGACACACTAATTGCATTGCCCAGCATAAATTAAAGGCTAACATGCTGCTGGATCAGGAATCCCCTGTCTGCTCTTGCCTGTCATAAAGACCAGGAAGAACCAGAGGGCCAAACTTCTCCTCACTGACCTGCAGCAGCCTCTGGCTGTGTCAGCCCCCTGGGACAGGACACCTGCAAGGAGTCTGTGCTCCATCTGCACCCACAGGAGGGAGGGTGAACTGCCCTGGCACTGGTCTGGGGCAGGTGGTACAAGAGAGAGGCTCTTGGAACCTCTCTTTCTTCATGGGAGGCAAATTCCTTGCCTTATATTACTTTTTTTTCCCCACTAGGTATTCAGGCTTCTAGCTGATACTGCTTTCTCCCTGTGGAATTCAGCCTCTGTAGCCACTCATTAGGAGGCAAATATATTCTCCATTTCAAGCACACGCTGTTTCACCAAGGATTAGGGGTGCAGCAACTTGGAAGTAATGTAGGAGTCATACATCTGTAAACATGCCTTTTGCACAAAAGGAACATTAACTATGAATGGATCGAATCCTTCACTCCTGATTTTACATACTGCACCACTCCATCTACCTCAAAACTAATTTTCTTGGGCTGCAGCTCAGGGTTATGCCCTTGCTTTGCCAATGCAATGGCCATAAAACAGGAAGGCTATCTCTGACTACACTGACAATCACTCAGCCTCTTTTTCAGTGCACATTAAATCTTGTCAAAACCATCTGCTTCAGCTGCCACACAATTAAACACAACAGTAGAGGGCTGTTTTTTAGCCGGATATATGCACAAGAAATCACTCTAAGTATGAACCCTGGCTATGTGATGTCAAAGAAAACCCTTTTGTGGCCTCTGAGACTCTTTATCAGCTATAATCCCATTTGCATTAAAACTTCTTTTACTCTGCTTTTCCTCCCCACACCACTTTGGTGTGCAGACCATTATGTCCCTTTGCCATAAGGTTTGTTCCAGCAGCAAAAACTCTTTGAGGTTTGTTTGTGCAAACTGAAGTCCTACAGAAGAAAAGATCCTACAGGTTCACTCACCCAGGAGGCGACAACCTCCTTTCAACTGGTCAGAAACAGCTCTGCACAAGCAGTGGAGCTGCTTGACCTCATGAAGTGCTCTTCCACTTCTGCCACTGGACATTCCCAGCACCAAACCTATGCATGACGGAAAAAACCCTAAACACATCCAGTTCCCTCTGTTTTAAAAGTCTGGCATTGTCTGCTGGAGCCCTGGCATGGCCACAAAATGGAGAAAACCAGGCAAAATCTGACACAGCAACACCTTCAAAGGCAGCAAGCAAAAGCCAAAGCATCGGCCAAAAGCTTGCAACCAAATATGTCAGCTTTGTAATGTGCTTTCTGAATCACTGACAGGTCATTTCCCCAGATGTTCCCTCAGAGCAGCCCTGCTAGCAGAAAGAAATCTGAATTCTGCCAAGCTCACTGAGCTGGTACAAGAAGGACTTCAAGCTACCAGCACTGAGAAGTGGTATACTACATGGAATTGCGACAGCAATTGTCACACCAGAATCTCCTCCAGGAAAAAGATGGCATGCAAAACCTGTGTTTGCTCACCACCAGTACCCCACTGTGAATCTCTGCCCAACCTGCAGGCAGGCAGAGTGCCATCCCAACACATGGGTTTGGATTTCGGCAGCCAACAGACCATCCACAAGCATCAAGTGTGATAGCTGTGGGCAGGAATCCCAGCCCAGAGAGCCCAAACTGCTGTCTCTTCTGAGCTACCAAGCCCACAGTTAATAGAATATAGAAATCCCTACTCCCACTTTTAGCAGGCTTAAAAAAAAATAAATTTAAAAACGGAGAGGTGTAGACAGAAAAGGAGTCTTACAGTGAAGCGAAAAATGACATAATTATTTTTTTCCTAAGAACATGGAGGAGAAAACACTCAAGGCATTTATCAAGGGATATTTTGAGGCCTCTATGGTTAGCTGATAAACCTTTTGGGTGACTTTATGATAGCAAGGCCTTTAAGATTAAAAGGACATGGGCAGGACACAACTCTGGCCTAGATCAAAGTTGCAAATTGGGGCAACTCTTTCTAAACAGGTGTTTGATGGCTTTTCAACTCCCTTGAGGAAAACCTTAAAAAACTATCCCATATCTGCCCCCAAATCAGCAATGGCAAACTTTGAATTTTACAGGAAGTAAGTCAGATGCATCTTACAGAAATGAAGCAAAAAGACAATCAAGGGCTAGTGACTCTTTTGACATATTTGTCCTCACGCAAAGAGAGAGGAAAAATTTAATGAAACCAATCTGAAATACTGAATGAAACCAGACCAGGGCCCTGTCCAGCAACCCCTGACTGGACACAGACACGGACATGGATGTTTTTACCTCTGTGCAGAACTATGTGGTCGATCATGTTGCGTTTGTATTTGGTGTGGTAGAGACAGAGAGGGCAGCGAAGGTCTTTGGGTCCTTCCTCGGGGACTGCCGAATGCCCGGCCTCCACGTGCATAGTAAAAGCAGATCTGTGAGAGAGGAGGGAGACAATGGCAGCAGTCAGGGGGGAGCAGTGAGGTGCCACAGCTCTCTATAAAGGGATGTGTGGTGTAAAAAGGTGCAGATGCCACTCAGCCCTGTCCGCGCGGCCCCGCGGAGGGGCTGCTCACATGAGCGACACATGAGCAGAGGAATCTGCAGGCTCCTGCCCTCAAAGCAACAAACACTTGTTGTGACAAGATATTCCACTGCATCGGCTGCTCCATATAGTCACATTGCTATAGTCAAGATAGCAAAAGAATTCCCATCCTTCATGCTCATTATCTGTCTTCAGGCTGAAACGTTCAGCGCGCTTTCTCCGGCGAAGGTTGAATTTTTTGCGAGTTGAACAAAATCCGCCAACTGTTCTGGACTTGCAGAGGGGAGGACAAACTTATTTCAGGCAGAAAACATCCTTAACTATCTTGGTCTACCCAGCTAAACTGTTCAGATTGTGGGTACCAAAAGGATTTGTGTTCACAGCGAGTTTGGCACTGAGTTGTTTAACTTTCAAAGCATCAGCTGTAATGATCTCAAAACCCAAGACTTAGAATACTGTATTTATTAGTGTGGAAGAATGAATGAATATTTCACAGTACTTCTGAACCAAAAATTTCATGCTGGCATTACGCTGGCTCCATACTTAGAAGTTGCAAGAGATATGCATAACAGAAGAAATTAACTGTACATCCATTTGACCACAAGCCCAACTACTGAAACCAAGAGCTGTCTCTAAACTTGGGGCATTTGGTTTTCCTAAGGCAGTGATAAACCTTTGCAAAAGCTAAGGGGCTTGACACATTGAACTAGAGTAAAAAGTGGCTTTGGACCCAATCCAGCAACCACTGAATTCTGCAGGTATATTTCTATCAACTTTGGTTACTGCTCTCATGCTTTTAAGTTTCTATGGTGTCTTGAAGAGGAGATTGGCATGTTTTGGGTTTTTTTTTTTTGCCTCTTCCTCCCCTTTTTTAAGACAGAATATACACTGCTATGAACATGTTTCAATGCTTCCTGATTTATTTCATAATGTCAAGGTGAAAGAAAATTGAAAGAAAATTGAAAAAAACTTGGAAGACACAGACAGATTGGACCCGTAAATTTCAACCAGTATTTAGAGACAGAGAGCAATCAGCATATTAAACATAAACAGGAAATTTTAACATGGGAAGAGCAAAGATGAAGCAACAAAGGGTAGACCCATGTAACTAGAGGCTGCTTCCATGTGGATTCTCTCAGGTTTGTGCTTAACATTTTCTTCAACAGAACTCCTTCCCTTGATCCAGTCCTACTGTTTACTGTCACTCTTAACAAGTTTATGACCTCAAATGTCAGCTCAGGGTGTTATTCTCAAGGGCCCAGCACATCAGGAGGAAATGATGAACTGCACAGGTGCCTTTTTCTGTTTTCTTACAGAAGAGCAGCTAAAACCACAAAAAAAACCACAAACACATAAGGCGCCGAGCCTTTAAATTTAAATAATTGGATTTTCTGAAAAGTCTCTGTATGTTATCAGATATACTAGAGAATAGCACTTTTCTATAATTTAAGCTAGAAATACTGGGGGGAAAATAAAATTACATGAGGAGGGTTTCTTCAGTAAGGTGAAATAAATTCCCCTGTCACCGCTGGACACTTGATTGTCCCACGTTTCATGCTGGTTGCATGTGGAAATTACATCATTTCTGCAGAGAAAATGTTCACACTTAAGGACAAAGGGATTATAAAGTGATAGTTTTTGATTCTCAGAGAATCTCAGAGAAGTAAGGAGGGGTGCAGCAGAACTGCTGCCTTGGACTTCCAGAGGTCAGACTTTGGCTTGGTTAAGGGACGGGTTGGGAAAGTGCCCTGGGAGGGCTTCCTGGAGGACAAAGGAATCCAGGAACACTGGATGTTCTCCAAGTTCTCCTAAAGGTGCAAGGGCAGATTGACTCCATGTGCCAACAGAGAGATGTGTCTGGAACTCGGGAAAAATGGAGAGTTTATGACTTTTGCAAGAAGGATCGTGCCAAGCGGACAACGGGGGTGTTGTGAACTTGTCAGCCTCAAGTTGCAACAGAGAAGATCTGGATTGGATGTAAGGAAAAATTTCTTCCCAGAAAGGGTTGTCAGGCAGGGGAACAGGCTGCCCAGGGAACTGGCTGAGTCACCACCCCTGGGGGGATTTAGAAGATATGCAGATCTGTCACTCAGATTTAACTGGGCTTGGCAGTGCTGGGTTAATGTTTAACTCCATGATCTTAAGGGTCTTTTCCATCCTCAACAACTCCATGATTCCAAAACCTACTGCAACTGTGCTGCTGTCTGCAGCAGATGGTACTGGCTGTTGCAGGAGAGAAGAAAATGGATTACATGGATGCTGCTGTGATCTGGCATGGCATTTCCTACACTCCTCTCCCTGGTCAGCAGTGGCCATGTTCCTGTTAGCCATCAAAGACCTCAGAAGTCTTTTTAAGCGCTGAAAAAAAAAAACCCTTACGAGTTCAGTTCATCTGTTTAGCACAATACTTACTTAAAGCCTGTGTAAAAGGAACAATCTTTGCACTTGAAGAGCTTCTTTCCTCCGTGCTTGTCGCGGTAGTGGCGCCGGATGCTCTGTATGTAACCCGAGGAGAATTCGCAAAATTCACAGTTAAGGATGGCTTCCGCTTTTTCCACTCCTGCAGCACTCCCAGAAAGTGGGATTGGGCTGATGTTGTTGTTGTTCCTGGCCAAAGCTGCAGACTGGTAGTGGTTCAACTGCTGCTGAACATCAGGAGGCTCCGAGTATGAAGAGTCTGCAGGAAAACAGAGTGGAGTTGTTATTCCAGGTGGATCAACAAATCTAAAAAAGGGTTGATGATGCCTGCTCCAGAACCTACTGCCTTTTGGAAGGGGTTGGTCAAGCTGTTGGTTATGAAACTAATCCTGCTTTCTGAAGGGATTAAGAGGTGCGGCACTTCTTAATCTAATTTAATGTGAATTCTACAATTTATAAGGTGAGAAATATAAATGACGCTTTTTTAGATCTGATTCAGGGAGAAAATGAGTGACACATTTGAATTAGAGTAGTCTAAAAAAGAAGCCTGATTTTAAGACACTTAATTTTTGAAGGTAAAGTCCTTTAATTATACTGCCAAATGTTTTATGTGTTTGGCACATAAATCAGACCAGATCCTCTCAAACATCTTATGCCAGTTCACACAAGGTGAAGATCTGGCACAGGGTACATGTAAATAATCTATCTATATGGAAAAAAAAAAAAAAGAAGAAAAAAAAATGGATACTCTCCCTGCTCATGCTGATGATGTTAGAAATTAAATCATCATTGGAAAAAAAAGATGTTTAATCATAAATTCCAGTAAAGGAAACTTTCAAACTGCTGATTTGCCATACTGAGAAAAGAGATCTCTAAAGACACATCCCTTCTACAAGCCAGCAGAACTCTGCCAGACCATTTTAATGGCATGTGGAGGAGCAGAGTCCAGAGATGTCTCAGTACTGAAACTGAAAGCTGTAATATGTTGGTTGGACACCCCAAAAAAGGAGTGTGGGGGGAGGGAGGGTGGTGTTGAACCTTTCCCAGCACACTGCTTGAATGTGGAGGTTAGGAATTCATCTGCTTTGTTCTACATAACCCACAGCTGCCCATGAATGGCACAAATCAAAGCAGATGAATAAAGCACAGATGAATTTCAGTGCAATTTTCCTGAATAGAAGACAAAAGGCTCTTTTCCTAAGCTTTCTAGAAGGGGGAAGAAAAGCTAGGAGAGGGGGGGAGGTGGGAGGGAAGTCAGGACACAAACTGTACCAGCCACCTCCTGCTTTGATGTGTACTTCATTTTCCAAAGCTGAATTCCCCAAGGCTAGATATATAAGAATTCCCTAACAGACACACATTTGTGGGAACCTAACACCATCCATTCCAACCAATTAGTGTGGGGAAACAAAAGGCAAACAGGCCTATACAACACTGAGTGTGGGGACTTCTCCACCTGTCTTCAAAAGAGCAAAATGCTTGCTTTCTTTTCCCACTGACACAGGCGGGGGTTACACATGGCCAAGAAATGAGTAACAAATAATGACAATAAAAAAACCCAAACCAAAGCCCGAAACAGAACAGACACAGCAGGTAAACGTCTCCAGGCTCCCCTGGTTTCACCACCAGGTGTACACAGCAAAGAGAAAGGCAGAGACATGAAAGATTCTGGTAAAATGAATGAAATTTGGGGTTGTTTTTCTCATCCAAGCCCCATCAGCTGAGTGAGGCTGGGTCACAAGGCAGCATTTATCATCCCTTGCTTCCACCACTTCCACAGCACTTTTGTGCACCAGGAGGGCTCACAGTGAGCTCCACCTGTTTAAATGTCAAGGCTTTCCTTCCCTCGTGTTTGAAGCAGGCTCCCCACATCCTTTACTTTGGCACAGGACAGCCCTGAGGAACTGCAAACCCTCTGCAGAAAAGCCTCTCTTCTCTCAAAGGCAACAACTGTGTGCTCACCCTCCTTTGGAACAGAACCTTCAGGGCTCAGAGGGGATTTGCTGACTCACTTCTCTGGGCTACCAGGTTCAGTGATTCTAAAAGCTCAAAACACAGTTAGACAGATCTCCTGGCAAGGGTAAGGCAGCCGAAAAAGAAAGTTCATAGCATTTGAAACAGGGTTTTTTTGGTTTGTTTGTTTCTCTTTTTTTCTTTTCCCTTTTTTTTTTTTTTTTTTAATGTGTATCAGTCAAATTACTCTTGTATTGAAGTCTACTTTGTGGCTCACTTGTTCCCCTCCCCAGGAAGAAAGGATCAAAAATTTCCACCACATCACCAATGTTCCTGGCCAAAGTCCCAGAGATATCCATGGCTAAGAAAGCTACAGGTCTAAAAACCATTCTTTTCAGGAGAAGGAAGCCCTGCTGTTGTCTGCAAGATCTACTGTACTTCAGATGTTTTTACTCCTCCTATCATCTGGTGTCTATTATTCCAGCTTTCGGACTTTCCATCAGTTATTTACACAGTGGAATCTGGTATGTGAAAACTGCAGAAGCAGATAGTTCCATGTCAATTCCCACACACAAAACCAGAAAAAAAAGCACATCAAGCAGCTTTCCCTGTCGTCCTCAATAGCCAGAAGAAAATTCTACCTCTCACACTCGCAGTTTTTCAGTATATTGCTTCATTACTCTTAAAAAGAGTTATGACATTTAAAGGAATTTTAAAAAGCCACCTGAAGAGTTTTTCCAGAGGGTTGTGCCCTTGAACAATGGCAGCATGCAGGGCCTGTTGTACTCCTTACCTTTTTCCTTGCCAAATTCTTTCATTACACTTGCTGCAGCGCGAGATTTAGCACTTCCTGAAGGAAAACGCTCAGGATTAACACGTGTGCATAGGGCTTCTGCTGGTGTCTGAGAACCAGCCTGCCAGACAGCTCTCCTGGCATGAAGGTGCAGCCCAGCTCGACCAGAAACACCCTGAACAGAGCCCAAAGTTGACTGAAAGCAAGGGAAGTTTTTCCACTGGGTTTCACTGGCCCCACCTTCATCGTGCCCACTCCAAAACCTGACCTGAGCTTGCCTCCAAAGATGCTTTCTGGCACACAGCAAATGAGAAACAGTGGATGGGGGTGAGCTTTTGGGTATTTTTTTTTTAATTTATTTTTTCAAAAGCAGTGTCTTAGAGAAGGGCCAGGGGATGCATATCCACAGTCACAGAGCACTGCTTTAAAAACTGCATTTTTCCTTGCTCTATTCCTGCTGGAAGAGTGGGTTGATGCTCCAGACACTTTCTGGAGGTGCTGCCCCAACAACAGGATGCCAGGCTGGAGGATGAAGGAAGAAAGGAGCAGAGCTTTTCCTCCAGAACTGACCCAAAAACTGAGTCATGGACGTACACAATGCAAGTTCCACCTCTTCTTTTTCCTGCACCCAAGCACAAAGGGCTGGGTGCACTCTGATAAAGTGCTAACAGCCTTGGCCTAGAGCAGGAAGAGGGTTTAGCCATCCATGTCTGAAAAAAGTAAAGAAGGCCCTAAAAGCCTACGAAATCAGAAAGCAGAAAACATTTAAAATATGCAAAAGGAAGATGTAAGAAAATTTGCATTAAATACATGTAAAACACAGCAGCAGCGAATAAAAACGAATGGAAGGGAAATTAAGAAAAATGAAGCACCAGGAAGTACCATTTACATTTTAAGGAAAAAGGCACTTTTTCCCCCCCCCCCACTCAACAGCCTTGAGGCAGCACAAGAAAATAAAGCACATTCATATATGCAATGAAAGGGAAGAAAATGGAACACTTAGCCCTGACTCATTTGAAACAATCAAACAAACAAAAAAAAGCCCACACCCAAAACACTGAGACTCCTTTTTAAAGACCAATTTTATTCAAAACGAATGGAAGGACTTCACTGTGCAACTCCAAAAACAAGATAACAGCATAGGATGATCTGAGATAAAATGAAGGACACCTACAGTCGTGTCAAGAGGCAAAAATTAACAGTGATTGCTGCAGTTAAAAATGGAAAGAACAGCAGCAACGCTGCAAATCTCAATTTTGAGATTTTACATATGGCATCTACCTACAAATTACCTGCACAGGACAAATAACAAGGCCAAAAAATAATGTAACCACTGCCAGAACCTATGGATCTAAAAGACATTATCTTCCCTTAGTACAGAAGAGAGTTTTTATACCCAAAATTCCAGAAGTTGAAAGGAAAGCAGGAGAAATTATTGCCCATGTGGTGATTTATCAACACAGCTGTATCTAAATTACTGCTGCATTCTGGTAAGAGCAGACAAGCAAGTCTCACTGTGTCCCTGCAGGGGCATTTCCAGATAGCTTAGAACACTAAAATCCCTGGTCAGGAATGCTGTCACCCCGAAAACTTCATCCAGAGTACAGTCCCAAAGACTGGGACAAATGAGTCTGCCAACAAATCTGGAAGTTACTGCCTCAGCCAAAAGAGCAAGGCAATACAGTCATGAAAATTCAGCTTGATTCCTTGCATACCCCAGGGTCACACACTGGGGAAAAAAATGTGCAAAGAAAATATACAATGAAAACCCACCACAGAAGGAAAATGAAAACCCAAAGTTTCATTGGATCCTTTGTAGCATACAACATGTTTGAGATACCCAAACTAAAACAAAACTTTGGGATCCTTCCAGGTGAAAAAAATGCAGTTTCAGATCCTGAACTGAAAACATAAATTTACACAAAAATTCAGTGATGTTTCAGCTGTTTCTAGGCATTTTCAGAGGTATCAATGAACACCATATGGAACAGCAAAACACTTCCACAAGACTCCTAAACCCAACAACAAGAGGCCAGAAATTCACCCAGACACGTCTAAGCAAGAGACACTGAGCAACAGCTGAGAAACAAGAGGGAAAAGGACTTATTAGAGGGAGGAAATTAAAGCACTGCTCTATCCTTTTAGGGTGGACAGAACCAGACACATGTAATATAAACACTTTCATGCCTGCACAGTGATGGATAGGGGTGGAGGGAGGAACACTGCTCAGGAAAAGCAGCTGTTGGAGTGCACTGGAAAGTGACGTTATTGGCTTTACAGAATTTTAATAATTTAACAGCTCAAGGACCAGGAGGAGTCACTGGGAGATAAAAGTGAAGACATCATGATCTCCTGGTGAATTCACACAGAAACACAAATCAGTCAAAAGAGACCAATATTTGTAAGAACAGCGAAATTGGGGACAGAGATGTTTGGCTCATGAGATAAGGAAAAAACCCAAAGGGAATGTATAAATAAAAGAAAGTGCTTAGTAACAGTTTGTGAGGGAAAAA